TTATATGGGGCGTGCTGCAACAAAACCAGACAAAGTGAACATTTGACGTCACTTGATATTTTTTTAAATTTTTTTAATTACTTCCTTATTTTCAATCAAGGTCAATTTTTCACCTCAATTTGAGCGCTCTGTTGAGAATTCGATTTTTCTAACTGAATTTTTAATTGAGCAACTTCTTTTTTATAAGATTCTACTTCATTAATCAGTTCTTGAGGAGTTAACTCCTTTAATCGCTTATTCTCTGCTTCTAATTGCTTGATTTTTCTCTCTAATTCTTTAATCTTGTCTAGCAATTCCCCCTTTTGTCTTTTACTTCACTCCTCGGAGGTTTTCATGAAATCTTCATGAGCCTCTCGTTCTTCGTGAATAGTTCATTCAGCGTTATTCAGTTGCTCTTGGAGAGATTTTATTTGTTTTTCATAAAAAGCAGGCATACTTTCTCTTTGGTGAGGTAAACGAGGAAGAATTTTTTCTTCTAGATTTTCCTTACGCCTAATGCAACGACAAAGAAGGTCAACATCTAATTTAGTTTGAAGTCTTCCGCATCTTTCGCATTTTGGTATTTGGTTATTCCAATAATTTGCTTCGCACTCTTCACAAACCACATCATCCGAAACATATTCATCACTATCCTTAACACGACTTATTATTTGGCGAATGGATTTATTATCCTCACCGTAAAAGTTAGAGCAAAAATCACAAGTTTTTTTACTTTCGCTATCTAAGTCTAAAACCACGTAATCCAATTCTCTCATGCTAATTGGTTTTGATTTCTATTCTAGCGATTAGTTCTTGCCTTTGGTTTTTGGTTTTCTCTACTAATTTTTGGAAACCAGTTTTTATCTTTGCCCCTAATTGGCGAAATTTATTCTGTTTGATCTTTCTAGGTAGAGGAGGTAAAGGCTTGTCAACCGCATAGTGTAGTAACCTTTTTAATTTGCCAATTTGTGCTTCTTGTTCTTTGTTCCTCTCGCGAGACTCTTCCAATTTTTTTGAATTGTCTTTTAGTTCTTGCTGAAGTTTTTTAATCAACAGTTCTTGCTCGTTAATCCTGTCTTTTGCTTCTCGCAGTCTTTTGGATTTTTCCTCAATCTGTCTTGCCTTATTCTCTGAGTCTTCTCTTAATTCTGCTTTTTGAGCATCATTAAATTCTTTGCTAGTTTCAGTAAAAGAAATAAAGTGAGTTTTTGCATCGATCTCCCACTTCTCAACAATTCTCATAACAACTTCATTCAATTCATTTAACTCACCTATTTTAATCTTCTCTAATAATTCCTCAAGTTCACCTATTTGTCAATAAATCCTTTCATTTTCAATATCTTCTTCACTTAATTCAGAGTAGTCTAACAAAAGTTCCTCAATTATTTTTGCCAAATCTTTTGATTTTTCTTTAAAAACTGTTAACTCTTTAATTTTCTCTTCTAACTCTTTTTTCTCTTTAACTAATTCATTCTTGCTATCCTTTAACTCCTTGATTTCCTTGTATAGTTTAAAAGAGTTGGTTCAGTACATGGTGAACTGATAAAGCAAAATAATATGACCTTGTCGAGCTTTCTTGACTGGAAAGTTTTCACAAAACTTTGGTCAATTGGTTCCAGGATAATAAGTCATAATTTTATCAAGTAATTCCTCATCA